CCACCAACTTCAAAGCGAGAGCCATGGTCACGGAGGCGATCGAGCAGGGGCGGCCGCGCTTTTGAGCCGGGCGGTGGAGAGGACAGAGGATGCAGAAATGAGAGAATCAAAATCTACCTAGTGTCTGCTCTCTACGAATGAGTCAGTGTTATCTTAGGAAAATTGCCGGATTAAGATGCGATGCATATTTGTGGTCAAAATTGAATATTGTTCTCCAGCCTGGACCCACAAAATCCTGAAGAGCACTTCTACAAGGGCAGGACGATGTCCAACAGGGGCCACCTAATAATGAACAAGCGGGGGTCTGAGGTCGTTAGGAGGATATGACAAGGAATCAACAGATCTCCTTGATTTCCTAGGTTTTCATTGCTTTCTAAGATAGCTGTTTATAAAGGAATGTATATCAAGCTTTGAATGCGAGCTTAATCGATGTTACTCCAATTTTCGTTGGTTGTAAGTAGGCTTGAATGGATTCTACTGATTTGAATATGATGTTTAAAACTTTTTAATGACATTCTAAATGGAATTCTAGATGGCTGTCAATCGATTTTCAACGGGTTTTACTTAGATGTTGATGGATGTTACAAGGATTTCTATCCAAAAAGCCCAGTATCCCTTGATTAGGGAATCTACCCTAAATGATATTCGAATCCCTGATGTGATTTGAATGTATATTCCCTAATCAGGGAAAATGGGCTTTCTGGGAATCGATGTTTGAATTCGATTAATTAGATGGCAGTTGGATTTAAATTGGGTTCTAGTTAATTAGAGTTTCATTGACTTGTAAGTCGACTTCAAATTCCAGGCAGCCCTGTCGAATTCCTTCAAAAATTGACCCTCCTAATATTCTGGTCCCGGCCCGGAATATTCCATAGTACGGTAGGAAGGGGGAACATCATTACAGGAAAGCGGTTACGAGAAAGGCACGAACGGCCGTGTCCACCTGCATAGAATCATAGAAGCTTTACGAATCCTGCGGAACATGCCGCAGAGATGAGCAGAATACAGCCACAAAAACACATGGATGCAGGCCAGAGTGACGAGAACAAGCTGGGATCTGCATCAGCGGCTGTTCAGACGCATCGCACATTTGCCACACCGCACGTCTCATTTCAACTTGTCGTCTCAACTAGGCTAACTCGTACTTTTCCAGCTTGGCCAAAGCTGTCTTGAAGAAATGGTGCAACCGAAAACCTCACTTGTCCTTCATGGTGCGGGCT